TTGCGGGTGATGTCGCTCGAACACATGATGGAGCTCACACCGGGGCGCCGGAGCAGGGCGGGAGCAAGGCAGAAAGAAAGGGAAATCAGATACAGGAAGAGAAAATAAGGAGGAGGATGAGTGCGAGCGGAGAAGCTTGGCTGACTGGCTGGATGGATGGATACCTGGAGGTGGGGACTGGGGGGGGGGAACAAGAAGTCCATACAAGCTGCTTCTCAACACACTCCGTGTATCTCTTTTAATCCTTTTTCCACTCCCCCCTCCATTTCTTTTCATGGGACCTATCATCACCATTCCTAGGTTCTATTTATAGGACACCACTGTCCCCCTGTCCCCCCTGCCTGTGTGCAGTGTGTGTTTGTGTGTGTGTGAGAGAGAGACAGAGAGAGAGAGAGTGTGTGAATGTGTGTGAGAGAGAGAAAGTATGTGTCTGTTTTAAGGAAAACCTTAAGAAAGCATTGTCTCTACCGCTTAATCTCAGAGTGATTTGACTCATTGAACAGAATCTCGGCGGAAGCCAGGTGTGTTTGTGTGTACATAAAAGGACGGGTTAAAGGAGCTCGATTTATCCCACCTTTCTTGTCGTTTCCGGCATGCGTGCGTGTGCGTGCGTGTTGACTCCGAACTGACTCCTAAAACCACAAAGACCTGGGCATACACAAATCGTTCCTGGAAAGTGTTTGTTTTGGGGTGTTCGGCTGGAGATGTGCCTGTGCATGCGCCTGTGCTAATTCCGAAGAGTCGGACGGGAAACGCTGAGATTCCTTTTATACCAACGCGCAGTTCGGTGCTGAACAGCTGTTTAGACGTGCACTGCGGCATGCAGGCCCTTCGAGCCTGATGGAGGGCTGTGGTTATTGATTTACGAGCCCCGGTTTGTGGTCTAATCACCAACTGACACATTTGGTCATCACACTATAAACTATTAGTTGAGACATGCCATTAGCACTTGCAGTGAATAATGAACCACTTAAACAAATATCTAAGCCTTTCAAAGAGATGCACGGATGCTGTAAGTGCAGTTGAGACCTTTTTTTTTAATTATTTTATTTTGTTTGAAAATGTGCATTTAGCCAGACTAGTTTTTTCCTGGTTTAGGTTCTAAAATATGATGTCCACACAACATGAGATTTTAATCATTTTTTTCACATGTCATGACTTTGAAAGCTGCTGGTGGGTGAAATACGGGGACATACAGGGCATATATTTTCAGACACATTTTAACTTAAAATGCTGCATTTCAGATTGTACTCAGGGACAAAGACCTTGAAATTTTGAAAACAAAGGCAAAGCGGCCTACAAACCTGAGTAGGTTTCACCAGTTCTTGTTGAAAGGAATGGGCCAAAATGCCAGCGAAAGATTTCATAAATTGAAAATACCTGACAGATTAACTTACTAGTTACCTTCACATTGAAAAAATATCAACAATTTCGGTAATCACAACCGATCTAAATCTGAAACTTTTATTCCGATTTAATGTCAGTCACTGAAAAAAGAGGTTTAGACAGTGGAAGAACAAATAAACTTGAGCGGGAAAAAAAAACAAGTTTTAAAATGTAACACACACAGCAAACATTTCAAGATTTAAATGGCACTATATTAACTTGTGACGGTTTACAAGGTTATTATTTTTTTTAAGGGTTACCAGACAGGTATTCCCCCTGACGGTTAAGATTTGCAAAGTTACTTTACTTTTCTATTTTTTAAAACCGGTCAAACAACAACCATACACTTCAAAGCTGTTGACCGTTTAATACAATGAACAATAATAATTATTATTTTTAAAAAATAGCTCTTGTTATCATTATTATTATATATTACACAAAAGTTATTACTTTTTTTTTATTTACACATTAAAAAACAACAAAGAAAAAACGCAATGTAATTTCTGTTTTCTCATGTCCATAAGCAAATACTCACAATCCATTCTTTTTGTCTGCTCTGGACAAAGGTAAGATTTTAATATTATTGACCATAACTCATTAGTTTTTAGTGATATTACAGTTTGTTTCATTCTAGCACTGATGAGTGACTTTTAACTCTGTGACGTCACACACTTCCCAGGTCTTCCGGCTTGCAAGTCAGAGAGGCTGGCGCACAGGAATAGATGTATGTTTGCTTATCTTCAGCGTCACAATGATGCGATCTGTGACTTGTGAAGGATTATTCAACTTCAGGTTTTTGTTGTAATAGTTGCTGCCAGGGAGTTACCTCGCAATATGCTCACTGCAATATTTGCCGGTCTATTTTGCATGCAGTCATGGAGTCCCCATGATCCTCAGGGGCCTCACAAACTCGCCTTCCTAAAATGTAAAAAAGAAAATTAGAACTACATTTACATTTGCAAACGCAAAGCACCTTCTCTAATTGGACTCAGTTTTATTTACAAATCAAATTTTGCATACAATAAAAACAAAACACACCCACATGACCTAACATTATTAAAGCGTCATTTGAAAAACCACTCACATACCAAAAACATGTGACGCTGATTAACAGGACTATAACCTAAAGAGGCTAGCTTTTCTATTTGCCATGAAAGTAAAATGTTAATCATTGTGAGATCCAGAAACGTAATCTCCTCCACTGCTACCCCCAGCAGCCTTTTGGCATGCAGCCCATGCAATCACACTCCCGCTACCGTGTGCTTTAGAGCATGTGTTTGCTGATTTTGCACCCAATTGATTTGGAAGAAACCTTTCCCCGCTGAGCTAAATATGTTAGAGTAAATATGTTACTGTGGTTTTTAGAAAAGTATAATCCCGCAGTTTTTGAGTTGTGTTTTCTACACCGTGATGTAGTCTGAGCCGAACAATCCCATCTTTTGTGTAAAGTTCAAACCACAGGACTGTCGAAGCCGAATTGTGAAAGCAGTTCAACGTCCATGGCATCGTGGCAGGAGCCTCTCCAAAGCAGCATATTTATTTATCTGGTATTAATTTATTAAGTTACTGATTCTTGTCATTTTGGCGTCTTTTCTTATCTCTCAATGCAACGTTTTTATGCTTCTGTTCACTGGATTCAACATGGAACTCACAAGTACATTACTTAGAGATACTGGCTTTAATAGCCATGTTTAAAACACAGGAATGCAAAACATCAGTTTTAATTTATTTCTAAAAATTGCCAGTAAAGACAGTAGACAGTGGAAAGATTTTTTTTTTAAATAACAGAACCCTTTGAACTGATTAGATTCCACATCTGATACAAATTTAACACCATTTACTTCCATTGTTTGTCATTATGTCATTTGCTTTGCTGTTTAACATATTCAACAAATACTCTATGTTACTGCACACAATGAGAGATAGTAGTGCGTCCTAAACATGACCTTTCACTTACTGTTCTCCTTTCATTTGAAGTGTCCAAGATTTATGCTTTGCGGCGGTTTTGCAGTCAGGAAACAAAAAAGAAGTCAAGTTCAGAGCTCAGGTCCCTTAAAGAACTAAGCCATGCCTCAAACATGATTTCTTGATCCTGGTGTTGCGTCGCACTGTGACAGAGCAGTTCCAAAAATCACTTATTTCTGCTGTAAAATTGAAAACTTTGTTCACTTCCTGTTTGCATAACCTCACAGCCGCAGCTGCAACAACACGCTCACAGTCTGGGACATCTCAGTGGGTCATCAGAAGTTGCCTTTTATCTCAAAACCCAGAATGCGATGGAATAATACAGGTTGCATATAGGTGCTGTAGAGGGGCAGAGGAAGATGAGAGGTGGGCTCAGTGCCCAGTTATAGGGAGACAGTGAGGATTTAGATGAAAAAGAGATGAAGGAAAACATCATACAAAGAGCAGCAACAAGAATAAAATGAGGAAGAAAGAGCAAATAAAAATAGAGGGTGTATCGTCATTGTATGTGTGTGTGTGGGTGTGTGTGCATGTGTCTGACTGTGGGTGTGTGTGTGCAGCTGTGCCGAGTCGGAGCGAAGGGAGGCGTGAGCAGAGGGGGTCCATTGTGGGTCTTTGTGTGGCTCAGATTGTCCTCTTCTCTGGGAAAGTGGAAACTCAACACTTCTCTCCAGAGGTCTGGTTACCAGGTGAGAGAAGAGGAAAGAAAAGAGAGAGGCAGCGAGAGAAAAACAGAGTGAGGGCTGCAGAGGTGTGGAGAGAAACAGACACGGAGAAGGGCAGAGGAGCCTGGAAGAGTCGGAGCATGGGAAGTAAAGGAAGAGAAAAAAAGAAGGAGCAAAGCAGCGAGAATAAAAATGGAAAGACTGAGATTTTAGTGTAGCCAATTAAAATAAATATCAGAATTAATCAAAATAAACACAAGTCTTTTACTAAATCTGTTCTGCCAGAGTGAAATATGCCCATCTGTTAACACTAACACATCTGGCTATCAGCATAAGCATAACAATAGGAATGTCTATTACATTATTTTAAATTCTATGTATTATAATAATAACAATTATTAGGGAAACACAAAAGGACATAGAAAATAATTATTGGAAACATTCAAATAGGAAAAATATATATTAATTCTGACATAAAATTATTCTGATTTGTTATTATTTCTTCAGTGGTTTCCTCCAGAAAAGTGTTAAGTGTAGCTGTTGTGAAATACCTCCCCCCGGTGGCCATTTGTGGAAACTCAATGACCCTACAAAAAGCATCTTTTTAAAACTCTTTCTGGGAAAATCTCAAGATGTTCATAAAAATAACGTTGAATTTCTCCACTAATGCTTGTTTTAATCCCATAAATGAACATAAGACATAGCTCAATACAAAAGCTTTAAGGTCCCTAGCAAGCTAATTTCCCATCAACAACTTATCTTCCTTTGCCCTTCCTTTCCCTGTACTTTTGTATACCATTGTTTTTGCCTATTTTCCTTACACATATGCTTCGAAAGTTTCAAATTAAATGAAATCTTTGTTTGTATCAAACATATTAAAAACAAATTTCAGGACAGGAAAAAAAATCTCCTTTGGTTTAACTTCCCCATGGGAAATGAAATAATCAGAACACATGATGTATTTGAAAATGTCTATTTATCGAGTTCTTCTCTCTCTCTCGTTTTTTTTTTTTTTTTACAAACTATATGTATTTATTTATATATCTATATATTTTACAAACAATTTAAGCCCAAAACACCAACATTTTAACAAAGCATACAGAGGAAATACAACAGTCCACATTAAAGAAAACAGGAAACAAATAAATTTTCCAACATTCGCCAACTTGTCTTTTGCGGTAACTTTAAAATGTGAAGTTACCATCAGATATAAAGCTAGGATCACTAGGAGAACAAGATTTAAAAAGGACATAGTTTTGTTTATTTACCTGCTACAAAACCACAAGAGGAAAAGACAGAATGTTGAACTCAAGATCATTTTTTAAGAAAACACTTTAAATGTCAAAAAATGTTGAGCTTGCAATAATTAAACCCAGATAATGGGGGCGGAAAAAATAGGAAAAGGGGGGAAAAAAAAAAAGCAAAGCAGCAAAAAAATAATAAGAAAAAAAGGACACAATAAAATAACATTTAAAAAATGTGAAAACAAGCTGCTTTGATAAAACAGCAGTTTCACTATTTTCTCTTTTTTTCTTCATACACGCTTTCAACATTTCGACTCGTCATGAAATTAACATTTGTCTTTATCGCCGTTCGGGTTTATTCTTGATTATTTTAAACATTCTCAAATGAGAAACATTTTTTAACACGCCATCACTTTTAAACAAACAAACAAACAAAATCTCCAACATTTACTTAATCTCTCAAATGAATCTTGGTACATTTTTTTAAAATTTCATATATTTAAATCATACCATCACATGCATCATGATATAAACACTCTGTAAAACAGGAAGGATGTTTACTTTTTTTTATATCTAAAACGGTTTTTTTTTTACAGGTCATCATAAGAATTAAAGCAGAGTTAGCTGTTACCTGATCTTGTTTCATGTTACAATCAAACAGGCTTAAATTTAAAAGAAGAAAAAAAAAACCCTTTGATGAGACTCGGCACTAGTGTGGACGTGTCTCTTTGTGTAGAAATGAAAGGGATGCAGAGAGGAGAATGCAGGAGTAACCGCGTGTGTTTGACATGAGTGTTTTTTTGTGGATGGCTTCTCTTTTACACCCTCTCCTCCTCTCTCCCCCCCGATGTTGTCTGGAGTGGATTGTGGAGGCGGCAGCTCTGATAACAGCTGCTTCTGACAAACACTATGGGTGCCACTTGGGGACTGAGTGTGTGTGTGTGTTCACATGTGTGCTGTGTGATTTCTATAGTAGCTGGGACACTTAAAAGGAGTCTGATTATCCGTCCAATAGCTGTTTGACCTGTTTTAAACACATGTTACACAGCCACTAGTGATTAACCCTCTTTTTTTTTAAGTATCAAAGAGATCTATCGATATTTAAAACTAGATAAATGAAGCAATACAGAGTTTCTTCCTATTTGTACGTCGGAGTCAAGACTACCGTCCACTTCCAGCGAAATAAAACGCACTAAAAATGAAACAAACGACCGGCGTCGAACCTTTACAAACACGAGAGGCCGCTCGAACACGGCTGCAGGAGTGTGTGCGTGTGTGAACGCTTGAGCTGAATGTTCTGCATTATGCATGCGTGTGTGTACATGTCTGTCGACAGATGTGAGCAGCGGTTGCCGCATGCAAAGGTTGCCAGCTATCATTGTCCTCCGTTGTAGGCGTAGTCTGCCTTGTTGTGCATGACCAGTCTGTTGTCCACAAAGTAGAAACTGTCCGACCGCGTTTCGTAAGGACACTCCACCATCTGACGAACTGCGAGACAGGCAATGTGTGCATGTTAGCAAACCAGCATTGGCTTTTGAATTCCAATTCATTTGTTATCTTTACTATTTTCTCCACTGTTTCTTCAATGAGCGCAACCATAAATATCTGTAAATTTGAAAATGTGATTAAATGCAGCTGCTGTGTTCGGTTTAGAAATAGAAATCATATTTCTTTACAAATGGGAATGGTTTTCAAGAGCAGTGTTTGTGTTTGTTCATGTTTGCACTATGCAGTCACAGCTATACAGCTACCTTAGAAAACGTCATAAATTGTTCCTGCCATCGCTTTTATCATTATCACAGCTTTAGAAAAAAAACAACAACAAAAAAACTATGGAACTCAGTTCTATACTTGCTCGCATAAAATAATATCCGATTTCTGTGAGTAAAAAAACCCACAAAATCTAAGCTTGTATAATCATCTCTAAAGAATAAACTACAAAAATACGTCATCATTTCATTGTACCTGTACAAGTCCAAGCCTGCTGAACTCAGCTCAGCTCTCCAATACTTATCGTCTATAAAACGTAAAAATGGTAAATGGTAAAAGCCTCGTCTTTCGTTTTTTTCAACAGGACTCACCCAGGGTCTCAGAAAGCTGGGGAAACTCGTAGATGTGTTCACAGGAGTTACGGCTGCTTGGGATGCAGAAGCCGAAGTCGAAGTCAAAGCTCTTGAGCAGGTGATCGCGAAAGTAGTGCCTCTCGATCATGCGGAAGTTGTTTAGGGGCCGGTTCCCGACTGTGAATTCCACCCTGATCGAATGGAGAAAAGAAAAGCTGAGATGTTACAGCTGTAAAATGTTATTATCATCGCTGCACGCTGAATAAAAATAAGGAACACAATGCTTGATCGCTTTCAAGATGCATGTGCCAGTCACTCACGTAGCTCCCACAGTCCTCAGTCGCAGGAAAGCCGGTGTGAACTGGTAGCGAACAAATCGACCCGCCGTGCCGTCTCCTTCGCTGAGCTCCTCATCGTCGTCTGACAGCAAAAACCACACAATTTGCAGCACAATAAACAGGTTTGGGGTTAAATTTCCAAACAGGCTGTGACCTATTTATTGCTGTCAGAGGAGCCAAGCCATCTATTTTTAAGTGAAACAGAAATAGAACAGTGCAAAGAACAGTGAAATACGGTACCTGAATGCGGAGGTTTGGCAATCTCAAACAGAACGGTGTTTGTTTCCAGGTCTCTGATTTTAAAACGAACAAAGTCAATGTTGTAAATGTTGTCTTCAGGTTTACAGAGGTATCCTGCAACCACAACACATAGAGGATAGGAGTTACAATGTACGGACACAAACAAGCAAATGTAACAACAATATTTATAGGAATAAATCAGACAAAACATCTCTGACTCAGTTAAGATTACAAAAAATACTTCTGTCGAGAAAGGCTAATAATGGTTTCTGGACATGTCAAATCTGGTAGGTCTGCTTCTTTTCCCCCTGTAACATTAGGACTGTAACAACGACGATCTACTTCTAATTTTCTTAAAAAAATGTTTTGCTTTCCTTTGTTAAAGCTGGAGTCAGTTTGGAAGGCAAACAGGTGAACAGTATTTCTTCGCACATGGGAAGCCGACGTCATACCAAAACTAAAAGACATGGACGAAGGTATTTATGTGGAGCCAGGGATTTGTGATCTTTGTAAATAAAATCTTAAAAATATAAAACTTAATTCAGGTCCTAATGTTAAAACAGGACAAAAGTTTACAAAGATACTTTTGTTGGAAGAAAAGAAAAAAACAATAAAATGTTTACCTGCATTAGAAGAAAGTTTTTTTGTGATGGAAAATCTATAATATAATATCAGCAAGTGATAGGGAGGAAAATTGATTATTATATAAAAAGGTAAATGATTTGTATTTGTAGTGGCCCATGACATAAAGTACAGTTCTGCTATTTTTTGAGATTTGAAACACGCTTGTTTTGTAGACAGCTCTACTGCCTCCCCTGCAAACAAGAAACCTGTCAAATCTTTTTATGTTTCATCCCATAAATTTTTGTGAATGTTTAAGTCGCAGTCACTTACATTCTCCAGCCTCAAAATGCTCGATTATTTTAGGATGTTGAATATTATCTTCAACAAAAATAGCTATTACTAGCTCCTCTCCGAAAGCACCTTTATCATCTTCGGGAGGAGGGACTGGAGAAATTAGGTGTGTTTTTCTCTCAGTTTGTTCTCTTTTCGTACGCAAACATGAAGCCCCTTCTGAACATGTCTTCACTGCAGCAGCAGTGAAGACATGTTCATCAACAGCCTTCATCCTCTGCTGTCCATGTATTAAGTATGTATAAAAATGTGCAGGGTCTGATCCACGGCAGATGACAGAGGACAAGTGGTATTCTGATGTTCCATTCTCCAGAAACATCCATGGTTGCGTTGGGAAGGATTCTGAGTCTCTCGTTACATCTGGCCGACTGTGGTAGGAAAAAGTCCAGGACGTTGTTTTCAGTGAGGCAGTGTTTGTGTGTTACTTTTGAGCCACATTCTGAGCAAATAGTTTTGACCCCCAACTCTACCCAATATCTAAAAAGATGTGTTAGATTATCTATGGCTGTGGAAGGTGGAAGTACAACGAGGGGGCCATTACTGAGCCGCACTAAGTAGTCCATTCCACATGTTGTACAGCTGCCTGCACTGTACAACTCCCTGTCCGATTTCCAGACGAGAGAGTCAAGCCAGACGAGCAAAGACTCCAGTAAGCAATAAACCTCAAAATCTCTTCCCAAGACCAGTCTTCTCTCCCTCAGCTCCTGGAGAACTGGGGAGATTTCTTCTGGAGAAATGTGTTTCCCAGGATGACGGACGACAGAGTGGAGAAGACCCGCACAGCAGGGGATGGATGATGCCTCAATGAACACCCTTTCCCGAGCGAGACACCTCCTTGTCACGCTCAGGTTTAGGATGGTTTGAAATGAGGTATTCATCCAACTGTTTGAGAAGACGTTGAAGAACTTAAAGAAGTTCTCCGGGTCTTCCATAACAGGTAGTCCCTGCTGTGCGGACTTCACCACAACCAGGACGTCTAAGCCAGCTTGCTGCTCCAAAAGGTCAACGTCCCCAGCCGGGTTGGTTATCCCTTTAGTAGCAGAGAGAAAGCTGTCCCCAAAGACTTTGCTCTCGTTCCCAGAGAGAGTTACCCCAGCCGGGGTAGCCTTGTCTTTGGGAACGGTCACAAACACGTCACACGTCTCTGGGGTCTCAGAGTTGTTTGTTAATTGAGCTTCCCTGTTCGGGGAACAGTTAAGCTCAATAACAACAGAGACTTCACAATCCAAGGTTTTTGACAAACCAAAGTCTGTGATGTCTCTCTCGACTCTGTTTCCCACTGAGACCCGTTGAGAACTCGGTAATTCAAAGACACCGGTGAAAGTGCCTTTGAGCGACGACATGTCTGGCTTTGCTGGAATTGCTGACGCCAAAACTTCAGCAAAACCTTTGGCTTCGAGGTCAACCTTAGAAAAATCTTCCCCCGTCGGGTCAGTTTTTGCTATGACTGTCCTCTCACGCCTAAGATCATTGTCTACCGTCATAGCTCTCAAACCAGTGACATTGCTGTGACTGGCAACTGTATGACTTAAAGGACAAACTTCCCCAGCCGGGTTAATTTGTCCAAAGACAGTACGCTCGTCCGAGGTACTGTCCTTCAAAGCCTCAGTTGAGTCAAAGTCCTTGGATTCATAGACATCCATCGCTCGTTTGAAGCAAACCTCCCCAAACGGGTCAGTTTGTTCAGAGCTGCTTTCGTCCAAATCCTTCCCGGGAAAGTAACGATCGAATACTTTCTTCATCCCTGTCGTCACCGGGTATCCAAGCCTCCAGCCGAGAGGGATTAGAAAAGGGACTAAAGCCTTAGAAATACCAGACATTCTTCAAAAGCACAAAAGAGAATCTCAATAAACTGTCTGGATGCCAAATGCTTGAGCGTTTGGAGATTCACACATTCAAAGCCTCAGAACTTCTTTGATCTGTTGCGATGTACATGCAGGCATCCATGACATCATCAACAAGCTCACCTTAGTTCTGTGGCACGGGCTTGCGCTGATCGTTGCTGTGGAAACGATCAGATCAGTTCTGCATGTCTTAAACTATAGACAAAATAATGACTGGTTGCATTTTTGTTTGTTTGTTTTTTATCATTTTTCTAAAAGCAAGTAATCCATAGCCTGGCGGGGGAGCTAATAAAGCTAGTAAAGCATGGCGGGCCACCAGGCTTATAATACACTGGTGGAAACCGTGCAGTGGTATCTCCTGTTTAACTAATTATCCTTATCATGCTAGGTTCTCTAGAAATGCCTGATAATTATTTTAAAAAATAATCGTTGCTCTGTTCCATTTACTGAATATGGGCCGAGTTGTATTGGAACAGATCAAGAACCAAGTTGGGACTTTGTACAATCACTCTCAATATTGAGAAATTCTTCATAATTTCATCTCCCTACAGGATTGTTCTGGATTTTTTCTATTATTTATCTCAAAGTTATGCCTTCAACTTGGTTTTCAACAAACTCAGTGTGCTGAGTAATTGATAACAGGCTGATCTTCAAGTCAAGTATAAATACATTACTGCATTACGACAACACTGCCAGGGTGACTGAGATTTGTTTCTCTAAAAATTTTAACCTCTCATTTAATTTGAAATTAGTCTGAACTTTTGGAGCTATGCCATTATTAAAACATACAGTCTTATAATAAATAATTTACATAAAAACAACAACAATATAAAGAGCAGTGAGTTTTCAAATTTTAATGAATACTGCCAGGTTACTCGTGTTAAAATTTGAGAGTTGCAGCAGCAGAGCTGCACCACAGAAGAGCCCGCCATCCGTTCTGAATAAAAACCCTCTGATTGGCCAATGATGAAAATTACCCAAACTGAAACCCTGGCAGGGGGATCATACAGTATGTGCAGGAAGTGCCAAACAGAGAGTGGAAATCAGAAAAGATAAAGGGATCTCTACAACAGCAGCTATCGTGTTCTTTGTCCAAACAAATCCAATTTCAGTGGCTATACAGGGGTGGGTGCAGCCACCCCCGTACTTCAGAGTTGTACGGTATAAAGCTTCAACCTTTTTTAGCCAAACAGACTAAGAACTTTAATTTTAGATTCATCAGATCACAGGGCATGTCTCAGAAAACTCAAGACTTCAACTCTGTTCTTCGTCTGCAATCTAACTTTTCATGCTGATTTTTAAAGTGATGGCTTCTTCCTCTCTTAGTGGTCTTTACAGCCCACGTTGGAGCATAATTTATGTCATTGTGGAAAATGGCACCAAAACACATTCCTCTCTGGAGCACATAATAGTCTCACACTCACAGTGTTTATACTTGTATATAAATGCTTATATCCAGCATCCAGGATAAGTCAGACTTATGAAAATCCATAATTTTTTCTCTGATACCTTGCTGGATTTCTAATTACGTCACACATAAAAAAGCAATCAAAGGTGGGCCTCCAATTCCCTCAAATGTTCTAAATGAACCTACCAAAACCTTAGCAAAGCCACTAATCATTATCTAGGCTTCCTCTGATTTTTTTAAAGGCAGAGAAACCTTCATGTACACAGCCTTTACTGCACTGAAAATCAAATAAAATTATGTTTAAACACAGCCACACTGACATGTGAATCTACAGTAATAAAGCCATAAAAGAAAGATAAGAAAACCTCTGAGGCTACTGTCTCATTACTATGGCGTTACAGTGAACAAAAGGTACAGGACAAGGGCTCCAGAGCTGCAGACATTAGACTAAGACGAAATTTAAATGAGCAATGTTTTTGGATATTATGGTAGCCAGAAGTATTCCTTCAGTATAGCGTACAACGCAAAATTTCACTGAAGGCATAAGAAATATATATATTTTTTAAACCTTATTTATTTTTCAATTTGTTCAGTTTTTCCCCCTTCATTGTACAGGCATATCTAAATGACTTTAATAACCAAATTTTCAGCTAAATTAAATTGTTATTTTAGTTCTATTGTTTTATTGTTCTTAAGCCTAAGTAAAAAATACATATAAGAGTAATTTTTTAAAATATATTACAATAAAGAGGAGTGTAGTACTCTGACTCCTGGAATAGGAATAGTGCAACAGGATGATTCTTCTTTATGGTTGCGTTTGTCACAGAGCAGTCACTGAAAATAAGAACACACATTGCACTTATTAACATTTCAATATTGTCCCCACAGCTTCAAAAGCTGTAAATGTAGGCCATAACAGTGTATAGCACAGAGAGGGCCTGGCTGCTCCAACACTGGCTGATTTCATCTCTGAATAAAGACAATATACATGATTTCACCACAACCCACACAGCAGCACAAATAAAGTTATCACACTGTCATAATTGCTCCTGTCAGCACACGCGCCCAGTGTCTTCTTCATTCACTGTTTAAATATAGAAACAGTAAGGAACACCCGTGACGCAAAAGACTTGTTATTGTTTCTAATGATGCCATTGTAATGAGGTACAGTGAATCATAGCTCGTTCCCTCGTCTCCGCTTTTAAACGGTCGGTACTGACGCTGTTTCCCCCCGCAATTCGGCCGAGTCTCGCGCGCTAATGAAAGCGACCCCGTCCCCCGTCCCCAAACCTCTCGTCGCGACTCGAAGACCCAGAACGTCCTCCGGGGAGACGTGCCCGCTCTTCGTCCGCAGCTCTTCCTCCGTCACGGGCCTGCTCTCCACCTGGCTTCGCCGGGACTTGAGCCGCTTCAAGACGCCTCCGCCGGGCTTGCGGTCCCGCGTGGGGGCAGCGGAGCCGTGCCCGCCGCTGGAGACATTTTCAGCAACAGGCGCGTCGCTGCGGGCTTTGGCTCCGCTCATCGCTGCCGACTGAGTCTGCCTCGGCTTCAGCTGCGTCCTCAGCCCTTCGAGCGCCCGCTCTTCACTCCCGTCCTCCGACGAAACGCTGTGAGAAGCAGCGGAGGACGAAGAAGATGGCGTCGGAGATGTCGAATGTCGAGATAACTGTCGGTGAACGGTCAAGCTCTTGTTTTTGTGAGCACATGCTGTACGGTTGCCATGACAACTGGCTCTGTGAGCGCCGAGGACGTAGAAGCGCCATCTGGTAGCGTCCACGAGGGGGCGACAGAATGCAGGAAATGAAGGATAAACCAACCAGTCAAGCAAATAGAATCCATTAGTTCCAGTTCAAGTACTTATTTCTAATTATTTTTGAACTTTCAAATTAACGTAGATAAACTACAACTACCTAGTAAATACATCTGATCCTTTATTCCAGTGGTGCTCCAGGTTTTGGTCACTTGGGGCAAAATTGTTATGTCAAAAGTAGTTGGATGTCCAGGTAATGTTTTAAGTGAATAATTTGCCCTGAGATGTAATAAAGCAAATAAATGACAATATTCAAAGTAATTGGGAGTTTAGATTTTGTGTAATAAAGAAGAAAAGGTGTAACCCTGCTCTTTTGGAAATGTTAATATCTTTAAATTTATTTTATATTGTAGATAGATAGATAGATAGATAGATAGATAGATAGATAGATAGATAGATAGATAGATAGATAGATAGATAGATAGATAGATAGATAGATAGATAGATAGATAGATAGATAGATAGATAGATAGATAGATAGATAGATAGATAGATAGATAGATAGATAGATAGATAGAGAGATAGAGAGATAGATAGATAGATTTTGAATTAATTAATTAGAATAATGTGAATCATTTAGTACATTTTGAATTTTATTTACATATTTTTGTTTCAGTGATTACTAGTAGATCAACCATGTTGCCTTGGTTTTATAAGGCATCCACACCTCAGGTCAACCAAATGTCTCCTCACCCTTTGAACTACCCAATAGGTCTCTTTGGTTTCAAGATTTCCTGACATCTTGCTCCCCCCACTTTTCTTCTCCCCGGCCCATAAAAGCAACGCAAATTAACGTTGTAAAGGCTCGGGTGTCATGCAAATTCGTGTTTACTGTGTGTGAGGCCTGACGGGCAGTTCCTGCTCCGACGCCCCAGGTAGCCTCAGCAACATCCACAAAAGCGCAGCACAGATCCAGTTCCTTTTCACTGGTGAGTATAGAGGCTTTTCTCTTCAATCAGAACCCGTTCATCCAGTCCATTGAAAACCAAACTACAGGGACGCTGAATAGACACAACTTCTGCACTTCAAAATAAGGGCTACAGTTATTTTATTTATTTATTTTTTTTCATTCAGACTTAAGAGCAGAAATGGTAGCAGTGGTTAAGAAAGACTAACCATTCATTGTATTTTGTGTGTTATGACAGGGGTTATGAATATCACCTTTATAACAACAAGTTTTATAAATGTGTTGATAGAAATATGTGACTATTCACTTTACGAGGTTTTGAGAGGTCAGACACTCTGGGGCAAAATGCATGTATGTATGTATTTGTACATACATACATACATACATACATACATACATACATACATACATACATACATACATACATACATACATACATACATACATACATACATACATACATACATACATACATACATACATCTCTATGTATGTATTTATGTATGCTGGAGCAAAAGTTTATTTCTCTGAATTCAGCTGAGTCGCCGCCCCCTGACAAGCAACACAGAACAACAATCCTTTTCCACCAAAACTTTACAAGTACCATAGTCACTGAAGGAGGAAAGCACCAAACTGTATGTCAACTCTTCACATATATTTAATACAGTACATTATATGTTTCTCTTGAGTTACACATTCAAATGCATTAAACTATAAACTCGACTAGCCACTTTTTTTATTTGGCTTTATTTTTATTTTTTGTTTTCTTGTTGAGAAGAGGTGATAAACTACACATTGTTGGTATGGCACAACATTTAAGTTTCAGAAATGTTTGCTCTTTTCTGTTTTTTTTATTTTATTTTATTTTTTATAGTGAATAACAATGTTATCAAGTACAATATCTCAGTCAAAACACTTCATTAGTCATAGTGGCCACTGTGTGACTAAAAATGCAACAGAGAAAATATTATCGGGGGGATTTACAAACTTTTACAGTTCTTTATTGAGCGTGTTCAGTAATAGTTCGCAGTTTTAGGGGCTGCTTTCCTTTTAGCCTCCCCCTTTTAGTCCACACAAACAACTGGGACGCCTCCAATTAAAAGCGTAGGGCTAAAGAACAAGGGGAGACACCGACGAGGTGGCCGCATTTTATTTTGAAGATAGAACACCCGCACTTCCGGGTTCCCGTCGCTTTCCCTGCGCACCTTGACTTCAGAGACGCTCGCGCCGAGCCTGGCGGCGGGGCGGAGGGAGTATCCGCTGCTGGGTGGGTGGAGGCGTAGCTGCAGGCTGACGTCTTCATACTGTGAATGACTTGAAAGAAGACAAACAAAACAAAAAGAAAAAAAAACACACACACACACAGTCAGACAAGAGCGCTCACGGAAAACCGAGGAACAGTTTCGTCCCTTAACGTCGCCCTGCGTTGAACCGTATGACCGCGTGAAGACACGAGGTAAAGGAAACTTTATTGCTCAGATTTGTGTGGTGATGTTTCGTTGACGGAGCAACGCCTCGCTGACAGGTGCGCACCTTTGGTTGTATTGAGGTTAAATGCGGTTGAGTTGGCTGTGTTTTTGTGCTTCCGCTCAGTCAAATTGACTTTTCTCACGTTTTGGAGGACGCCGCTGGTCCAACAACTGTCAGTTCATTAGTTTTAATTAGTGACTTATAAATGGCCTGTAATAAGGCAGCGGCGATGACTGTTTACGGACTTGATGCAAACCGCATCCTAAACGTATGAGTGAGACTTGAATCCTAAGCAAAGCGCACTTTGGGCTCTCGCATAGAAACATGAACATGGAAAACTAAAACGGCCTGGGCAACACAACAGGGTGACATCCACTGAAGACAAACAAAGATAAAGCAACGCAAAGGCCTGCCGGCAAGAGAAATCCACTGAGAAATCCATTAAATCAACTCTGCAGCAGCTTTATCTGCGGGCCGGTGTTTGTTGCCCAGGAATTCAAGTGTAAGGAAAAACTAATGAGGTGGGAGAAACAAACAGGGCACATCATTCTCATTTATCCCAAGTGTGTGCTTTATCCCAGGCTGATCCCATTACACAATATTATGCACACCCATAGTTGTAGCAACTTAGAGCACAATACCACAGGCAGGAACTCCCTCACTGCACATGCACACTATTGTTTGAAATCAAAACAGCCTGAGCATATATTTTTTTGTTGCAGATGTTACAAAGTGGCAAAGTGAAGCTAACGTGGATTTACCGGTTTGTGCAAAAAGTCCTACAGGCCCGACCGGATGCTGGGTACAATGCTTTGTGGTATTCAATGTAATAGATTTGGAAACGACACTGTTATCGCTTTCACATGGCATTCTTCAAATCTGATCCTTTCCGAAGCGCCCCAGTGTCAATCACAGGGCAGTTTTTGTACCATGTCTGTACTCCTGGTTCTGTGGGAGAAGTAGATATTCTGTGTTTTGAGCAGTAAGACTGGAGTTATGACTCATCTGGTCTGCCTGCTCCAGCCTCTGACAGTCACTCTTGTGTAATCACTTTGAGTCTCTCTGAAAAGTCAACCAATCTCACCAGTTATCAAAAACGAGACCTGCCTTTTCTTATCAAAAAGATTCAGTTGATCTAAATACATATGACCTTACAGTAACAAATCTGATGCAGAAAATTAATAAACTGATGTTTACCCGGTACTGGAGATATACAGTATATTGAGCCTGTCTCACAATGTCAGCAGATGCAACAATGGATTCCTTGGATGTGGTATTTTATTAGCTTCAATATTTCAAGTGTAATACCTTGTTCATACTGAGACAATCAAAGGGATTGTCTCAGTATTTATTTTACTTGTTTTTTATTTTGTTTTTTAACTTTCATTTCACATCTTTTGTTCTTTATCAGCAGACATCCAAATATTTTTGGTGAAAATATTCGGATAACTTCAGGAGTTATTCTTCTTCAGTTACACCTGAAGAAAAGTAACTCCTGAGCACGGTGGTACCTCTGACATATTTCCCTATGTGTCCCTATGGGTGTGATGTTCTGCTTGGATTCCAATAATTATCTAAGCCCTATGTGTTCGGACACTCTGTACCAGTAGTAGCTGCGGTGAAACTTGTTATTTAATAGCCGGTGCACAGCTACAACCTTTAACAGGTGCATTGCTTGGAAACAAATTCTTGTTCTTTCTTTCTTCCTCTCGTTCTGTGACTTTCAGAGGCCAAACTCAGAAAACAAACCAGCCAATCATTGAGGATTGGATCTTTGGACAATGGGGCCGTCCTTCCAAAGGTCTTCCTCTTTGACAACAGGGGATCATACAGATGTGACTAAAATGTTTTTTTTAACTTAAACACTGTCTGCAAAGTTAACATTTGCATACTGAATAAAAGCATTTGATTGTAATAATTGTTATTAAACCTAATGGGGAGTATTTATGGATTATTCTGACTGAGTCGTACGTAGCTGCCTTTTTTTGTCTTTATGAACAGAATGCTACAACAGCAGCTTGGAAAAACAAGAAAACAAAATAATGAGAAACTAGCATCATGTTATTAGAATGATGCATAAATGTTGGATGAAGTAAAGATTTTTTTTATTAAAATGTTAATTAGATAACATTTTTTAATCCTAATATTTTATAGTATTTGTTAATGATAAATAGCATAGTAACACAAATATTGTTCTAGTTTCGTCCCTAAATGTAATACACTAGTAATACATTACTAGTGTATTACATTAATACACTTTTATCAAAAGTGTATTAATGTATTAATGTGTTAATACATTAATACATTAAATGTATTAATGTGATAACAGTTATGTCACATTAATACATTTTATCAGCAAACACACAATAACTGCCTTTACTCATATTTTTAAATATATATAATTATTTTTGATGCACTCAGCATCAAAAATAATTTTTTTCCAACAGAGGGAAATAATTAACTCCAACAATATTTTTCAGCACTTGCAAACATCATCAATTAGGGTTTTTTGTCAAGATAAATAAAAATTATTATCAAAATAAAAAAATATATATATAACGATAAATGATAGGACAATTTTAGTTCTATATTTTTTGGTCTGCTAAGTGAGCTGAAGAGTATTTTGACAAAAAAAAATGAAAGTATTAGATCTGGTTCCCTCAAAACTGGTGTTATTTTTTTCTATTCTGTTCCCAAAGACTGATATGTAAAAATGGGAAAACTGAAGAGCTGCTTTCTTTTTCCTTTAATCACTAATTTAATGTCTGGATATAAACTGAGTCGCTATCAAAACACAACTTTTCTGTCGTAATGCAACGCAATGTTATCAGATGATAAAAAGATTGCTACGTATCTTCCTGTTAAGAGTATATAAACACCTGATAGTACCTATGTATTTACTAGATATAGAGTGTGATTATGTGATAAGCACAGAAACACAACTCAGAGTAAATTACACATTATGATTGAAAACAGAAGACATAATTCTGAGTGTGACTGAATTACCAGTCTTTAAAAGCTGCTTGCAGCAATCAGTGATGGATCACAGTTTATCTATCAAGTATTTTTGATGGACGTTTCCAGTAATGAGGGTTTTTTTTTCTTCTTCTTTTTTTTTTTTTTTGCTTTGAGAAAAACTAAAAAGCTTATCGAAACCTAAATAGCATCCAAATTGAAAATGAGACTAGTGTGTGCCCTGACAGTTAAGTGTTTGCTCAGAGTGATTGATGTGTTTCACTTTATCCCTTTCGTAGAAACGTGCTTTTAAAAAAATCCAGACAGACCAGCCTCGTCCTGTCCTCTTGTTGCAACATAACCTGCTGGCTTTGTTTTAACTGAGTATAATAAAGGTTTTTAATCATAATCCATTGCCTCGTGCTGTTTGAATTTTTACACACACTGTAACCACAAACTCCCATCTGTTTTATTGGGATGTGATTTGATTTGATCAACACAAAGTAGAGCAAAACGGTGAAGTGAAAGGTGAATGATTTTTCATAACAGAACTCTGAAAAGTGTGTTGTGCATTTGCATTCAATGTATGTATTTGTGTGCGGGGCATGGGCTTCGTGGTGACAAAGTTGATATCATGTTGCCTTTCAGCAAGAACATTCTAGGTTCAAATCCTGGCTGGAGGACTTTCTGCATGGAGTTTGCATGTCTTTCTGTTGCATGTATGGGTTCTCCCATAGTCCAAAAACATGCACATTTGGTTAATTGGTCTCTCCAAACTTCTCTTACATCTAAGTGTATACATTTTGTAATGGACTGGTGGCCAGTCTACACTGTTTCGTGCCTAACCCTGCAAAGGTTAAAAGGAAGATAATGGCTAGATATGTACAGATCCATACTGGATGCATACCTGTCTGAGTGAATAAACAGACTAAAAAGAAACCTAGCAGACAAATCAGGGTTGAAGTTCAGAGTGAATATGTAAAGCGATATGCCAAGCTTTGAACATCCCACAGGCCACTGCTGAATCCATCGCTCAAAAATAGAAAGAGTATGGAATCACTGCCAGCATATCAAGACATCGTTGTCCACCGAAGCTGACAGACTGGGGAATAATCAGAGAAGTAAACAGAATCTGGAGGGGGCTGCAAGCCATTTTGCGTGTTTGCCTAGCAACAGACTTAACACTGCACGTCATCCTTTAAACACCATTTCACTAGTTAAACATGGTGGTGTCCCCATCATGATGTGGGGAGGGTTAGGGTTAGAGAGAAGGTAGCAGGTCAAACTTCTTAGGAGGATGGATGGTGCTAAATACAAGGTAGTCCTGAATATTGATACCACAACTTTGAGATTTTTATTTGTAAAACATTTTGAAAACTATGTATAATATCCCTTTCACTTCACATTTACACACTAATTTACATTGGTAATCACATAGAACCCCAACAAAATGCATAAAAGAGTATAGTTGTCAGGTGACAAAATACAGAAAAGTTGAAGAGGTGTGAATATCATCAGACGCCACTGTGGATTGCTGAAAGTTAACTCTTCTTCTTTCTCTTTTTTTGTCAGGTACGTCAACTATGGATACGACTATTGAGGCCTCCCAGAGCGGGGGCCTGGCTACAAAGCCATCTCCTCCTCCCAAACCCAGTCTCGCTCCCAAACCATTCTCTCTGCAAAAAAACAGCACAATTCGCTCCATCAAAGCTCCAAAGACTGTTTCCAAAACTGCTCATACACCTAACTCAGAAACAAGTCAGACCAAAAAATTAGAGACAAAAAGTTTCCCGACCACCACTGTAACTACCCCAGCTGAAAAACTGCCTCAACCCATCAGTTCTCCAGAGACTACCCTCAAAACTGATCCCACACCTAATCCAGAAGCAACAGAGATCAAAAAATCTGAGACAAAAAGTCCCCGGACCACCGCCGTGACCATACCTACTGAGGAACTGTCTCAACTTATCAGTTCTTCAGAGACTGCTCTCAAAACTGCTCCTACAGCTGAGCCAAAAACGAGTCAGACCGAAAAATCAGAGACAAAAAGTTCCCCGACCACCACTGTAACTACCCCAGCTGAAAAACTGCCTCAACCCATCAGTTCTCCAGAGACTACCCTCAAAACTGATCCCACACCTAATCCAGAAGCAACAGAGATCAAAAAATCTGAGACAAAAAGTCCCCGGACCACCGCCGTGACCATACCTACTGAGGAACTGTCTCAACTTATCAGTTCTTCAGAGACTGCTCTCAAAACTGCTCCTACAGCTGAGCCAAAAACGAGTCAGACCGAAAAATCAGAGACAAAAAGTTCCCCGACCACCACTGTAACTACCCCAGCTGAAAAACTGCCTCAACCCATCAGTTCTCCAGAGACTGTCCTCAAAACTGATCCTACACCTAATCCAGAAGCAACTCAGACCAAGAAATCAGAGTCAAGAAGTCCCCGGACCACTGCAGTGATCTTCCCTACTAAGGAACTGTCTCAACCCATCAGTTCTTCAGAGACTGCTCCCAAAACAGCCCCTACACTTAACTCTGAAACAAATCAGATTGAGCAATCAGAGACAGAAAATCCTTCTGCTGTGACCATCCCTGCTAAAAAACGACCTCAACCCACCTCAACCTCAACTCCAAAACCACAGTCTGCAAGTGTGCTGCCTAAATCTCAACCAGAAGCATCGAAAACAAATGAAACACTTCAACAAATTGAGAACAGTCTTGGTGCTGAGACAGCTGCTCTGGATCCAGCCACTGAAACAGCTCCAACTAAAGAGGAACCTAAGTCAGAGCCAGCGCAGGAAGACATCATCCAAACAAGCCACGAACCCCCCACCATTGCTGTTGCCAGCTCAGAGCGGAAAGATGGAGAGGAGAAGCAAAGTGACGCTCCAGTTTCTGTCAGCCAAAATATAGAAGAGCCAAGCAGCAATGGTTCCACCACAAACGACTCATTTTACCAGCGGGGAAGCGTGAGGAAGCGCCTGCCTAAGGCACTCACCTCAAAGTTCGAGTCAGGTGGGATCCCTTTGCCCCGTCAGTCTTTCAGGGCCATTCCCAAACCCATCACCAAAGACGAATCCAATAAACCAGAATCTTCTGACGCGCAGCATGTTCACACAACACCAGAGCCTCTTATCAAAGAGAGTGATACTGATGCAGAGGATTTTACCGGAGGGAACAGCATTAAGAAGAGAATCAGTCTCCTGTTTGACTCTGTGTCAAAGCCGGAGGTCACGACCAAGAGAGAGGAGCCAGAAATAGTGAATGGGATCAGAGGTGTGAAGGAGCAGATTAAAAACTGGGCGTCAGAAACAGGTCCAGAGGATCAGAAGGTCGAGAAGAGTCCTCAGGCTGCAGACGGAGTTTGCTCCAAGGCGTAAGTGAGACCTTCAGCTCTTTCTTCACTGGGTTTGGGTGCAAGACCAGGCATGAAATATCTCCTACTGCTGCAATCAAGCAAGAAGTTTATGTCAACGTGTTGACACACTGACATCAGTCAGCTGTCGTTAGTCGCACTAGAAACATCAAATTTGATTAATGACTGTCATTTAAAATCATAAATCAGTCCGAGTTGAACCCACTTAATAGTTTCAATAATTTAAAAAAATTTTTGACGTTAATCTCTCATTTTTGTCAGTTAGATTTAAGTCAAGCATTATTGCAGGAGGAAAAGGCAAACTGCTGTCCGTCACTGGTTTTCTTAGCACATCTAATGCGTAGCATCAAGGTAACTATAACAGCTGTCTTGAGTTTTTTTTTTTTTTTTTTGTTACTGTGAACATTGGGAGTAGAGTGCAAGTCTGGAACTGTTCTGACTGGAAAGTTTGAGAAGTTCTCCTTTTTCATCTGTGATGTGTCAAGACATTACAAAGGGTGTATTCACCGAATACTGTAGCTCTCCTTCATTTCATTTCTTCATTTATGTTAGCAGACAAGATAAAAATGATTTTACATACATAGACAAAAAAGGGGAAAAACATTTTAAATTGCTCAAAGGCAGTTGGATGAAGTCAAACTTTTATCCTCTGTTTCCTCAGTGTGTCCCAGTTTCTCTCCTTAATTTCCTAATGTTGGATAGGAACCATCTAATATGTCAGCAAACGCTGCAAGTCAGGACGTGACACATCCAAATTAAACTTTGATTCCACGCAAAGAAGGAGCATTAAAAAAACTGCTTTGAAGTTTTTTTAATGTCCCCTCTTTCAGATAGCTTAATGTATTGACTCATATTTTCTGATAATTCATAGTGTCAGCTGTTATCCTAAATTATATCTGCAGCATTTATTTTGACTGAAAACCAAGGTCGAGGAGAAATATTTTAAAAAGAAATAGCATAGTTTTTCAGGTCACTCACTTTCCTCATGGCAGCTTCCTTCACTGTAACTCTTGAGCTTTTTATGGTGTGATACTGGGCTATTTATCTTTAGCTTCCTGCATTCTTCTAAGGTTTCGAATGAACCAGGAATAACTTGCTCAGTTTCCTGTAACAACTCTTTGACATTCAAAGATGTTTTGCATTGGTTTTTAGTCACATGACATGACATGAAAGCTTTCAGACACAGCTGGTACAGTTCCTGTCTATCTATCTATCTATCTATCTATCTATCTATCTATCTATCTATCTATCTATCTATCTATCTATCTATCTATCTATCTATCTATCTATCTATCTATCTATCTATCTATCTATCTATCTATCTATCTATCTATCTATCTATCTGTCTGTCTGTCTGTCTGTCTGTCTGTCTGTCTGTCTGTCTGTCTGTCTGTCTGTCTGTCTGTCTGTCTGTCTGTCTGTCTGTCTGTCTGTCTGTCTGTCTGTCTGTCTGTCTGTCACCATGTGTGGCACATGGAAACCACCAAGTCTTAGTAGTGTGAGATTTTATTTTACAACAGGTACAACTTCTACATCATGTTTGCCAATTTTGAGCTGATTAATATTGTCTGCCACATCACTGGACATAAATGCTATCCCTTCAATTTCTAACCTCTTTTTCTAAACTGTCTTCATCATAGCTTTGTGAGGTTAAGAGGTGCATCCTGGTCCAAAATGGTGCTTTATTGTTTGCGAATGTGTTTAGAACTGTTACTTATTAGCACACACTAAATGCTAATGATTCATGTCTCTTCGGCAGGTTGAAGCCGGAAACACCAAGAGTGGAAGTTCCTGCAGCGGAAGAGACACCCACCCAGCCAGTGGACTCACGTTCAACAGTATCCTCACCCACAGGGAGTGAAATTGAACCACCAAAGGAGGAACCATTCAAAGATAAACCCTTTGGGAATGCAACAGAGACTCCAGCAGAGACTGACAAGTCAAAGGAAGATGATGTCCAGGATGTCCAGAGAGCGGATGTCCAGAGCAGCCAGTTGGCTGCTTCTGATGAGAAACACTTGGCCGAACTGAAGAGGAAGAAGAAGAAGAATCGTCGCTCCGTTCGCTTTGGAACCGTGGTGGCAGACGACGGTACACCTCCAGTGGTGCTGGGCCCGGACCCTGAATCCAGTGAAGATGACAAACAAGAAGACAATGCTCAGGTTGAAAGCAAGAAAAAAGGGGAGGACAGCGTTTCAATGCCTGTCTACAGAAGAATCGGCACACTCCAGAGGAAGAGCGACGAGACTCAAAGTCAAGAAACTCTGATGCACCAGCAGACGGAGGAGGAGAGTGAACATCCAAGATCTAAGATGGAAGAGGAGTTCAAACACATGAAAGATGAAGACGCAAGGGAGAAAGAGAAGGCAAGAGATGATGAATTGGAGAGAAAACGGTTGGAGGAAGAAAGAAGAGAAACGGAAATGGAGCTGCTGAGACAAAAACAGGTACAGGAGGAAAGACAGAGGGAAAGAGTGAGGCTGGAGGAAGAGCAGAGGAAAGAGGCAAGAATGAGGGAAGAAAGAGAGAGACAGTGGCAGAAAGATGAGGAGGAACGACTGAAATTGGAAGAACACCAAAGACAGAAGGAAGAGGAGGAGAGAAAAAGAAAAGAACTTGAGGAGCAAAGACAGAAGGAACTGAAAGATGAGGAGGAACGACTGAAATTGGAAGAAGATCAAAGACAGAAGGAAGAGGAGGAGAGAAGAAAATATGAGCAAAGAAGGATGGAGCTGGAGAGGATGAGAAAGGAGGAAGAGGAGAGACTCAGACAAGAAGAGCTGGAAAAAGAAAGGTTAAGACAGGAGCTGGAGAGGGAGCAAGTCAGAAGGCAGGAAGAGAAGGAGAGGATGAGACAGGAGGATGAGGAAAGAAATAGGAGAGAGCTGGAGAGGAAGATGCAGCAAGAAAAAGAGGAAGAGGAGGAGAGAAGAAAATATGAGCAAAGAAGGATGGAGCTGGAGAGGATGAGAAAGGAGGAAGAGGACAGACTCAGACAAGAAGAGCTGGAAAAAGAAAAGTTAAGACAGGAGCTGGAGAGGAAGATGCAGCAAGAAAAAGAGGAAGAGGAGAGGAAGAGAAAAGAGGAAATAAAGTTACAGATGGAGAAAGAAATGGCAGAAGAGCTGAAGAAAAAGATGGAAGAGAGTCAGCCAAGAACAGCTGAGGAGCAAAACAAAAGAGAGGAAAAACTTATCGAATTTGATGCAGAAGAGCCTCCAGCATCCCCCTCATCACACGTCTCAAAGAACACAGAGAGCCCCGTCGATGTCGTTTATGATGACTTCTCGATCCAGAACCCTGTGCTCGACGTAGACTTTGACGACTTTTCTGTCAAACCCAGGAGACGGACTTTCCAGCCAAGGCGGGAAACTGCTCCCATCAGCAGCGACTGGAGAGTCGAACCTCTGAGGAAAGACAACCTCCTAGTGTCCTTCGACAGCAAACCTCTAGAAACTCAGCAAGAAAACGAACCAAAGCAACCAGAAACAATGTTGGTTCCCACCCGGGTCCCAGAGATCCCAGAGGAAGAGAAAGTTAAAAGGTTGCTGGCAGAGTTTGGTGTGAAGGAGGAGGGAGACGGAGAGGCAGAGAACCCGGTGGCAGACCAGCCTGTAGAGATGAAGGAGGAGGAGGAGATGGAAAATGTGGCAGAAATGAAAGACAAGGGTGAAGAAAAGGACAACATAGAGGTAAACATAAAGTTCTATCTCATTTAAATCCCTTGCATGTTCATTTTTACAACCAGGTCCAGGAAAATTCACACACGGACACTCACATTTTGTTGACCTGCTTATACACAGATCAACAAATCTGTGTATAAGCAGTATTCATACTTGCAGGCAGTGCGTATATTTGTTGTTACCCGGGGTAACTATTTGCACAAACCTTTAAATTTAGCTTTTATTGCAAGGACATAATACGTGAACTGAACATTTTTGAAAATCTTATCTATAAACAAGTTTTTAATCATTCTGTTTAACGTGGTGCTCCTAACAATCCTGTTAATGAAGCATCTTCTTATAAGTAGTCTACTTTTGAAGCTGTTTTAGTTTTCTGGTGTGATGGGGAACTATTAATTCTCATTTATTTTTACTACTGGTGCAGTGGTATCTTGGTGGTAAGCAAGTCTACATAGTGACCATTACACACCCTCTACATGCCATCCAACAGTAATAGATGTATGGGAGGTAGAAGACATTTATTTATCGTACCATATCAAAAGCAAACATGTAAAGATTACTCATCTCTGGTAGGATTTAAGGTGGAACCATTTGCTTTGGCCAGACGGTGAAGCGTCTCAATACTCCTGATGGGTTTGGTCTCTTCTGCCATATGATAATATGACCCAAATCCAGACAGGGTATGTTGAAGAGACAATAAGATAGGAAAGGACCCTGGACTCTAGATGATATGAAAAGAGTGACCATAGATCCAAAGACTAAAGTGCCATTCTAATGGCAGAAATGAATAACATAAGGCATTAACAGCATGAGTATTAATAGTTGTGCCTCTGAGGATTTTGTACAAAACAATTGTTGTTAAATACAAGGTTTTATATCTCACTGAAACCATAAACTCAGATCAAAGACTTATTTTTTTTTCTTTTTGAGTTTATGTAACTACAGTAAAAAAAAACCAGCTTATTTCAAGGACCTATGCATTGTTTGAAAGGGTGCCTACAAATGTATTTGTGTATAATACATTGCATATGATCTCTATGTGCAGGGTGTTAATGCCCAGTGCATAATCTTAGTTTTAGTTGTTTAAATGTGTTTGATTTAATTTTTATCGATAGCTCTTTTGTTTCCAGGTACAAAATAGTAATTTCTAAATGCACAGAAACAGCCTAGAGCTCTTGAACAAACGGAGAGTCGCCTCACATCTGTTCAGCCTCTATAAAATATCATCCTTTAGATGATATTTAAGATCAGTCAAGCAATATCAGCTTTTCTGAAACTTCCACAAAGCTGCTGCAGAATCTAAAAAAAGTTCCCGGCCCACACCATGATTAATCGTTCAATTATGAAGAGAGGGCGAGGTTGAGAGCAGAGATCGGAGTGAGGGAGCAGATGTGACTGTTTCACCGCTGAATTATGTCGTCTTGGCAGTGACACACACCTTTACCTGCTCAAACATTGCCATTCCTGTAGCGCAAGAAAAAATACTTGTTATACTTGCTTAAGAGTGACTGAGCTAAAGAACCTGCATCATCCAAGACATGTACCTGTTTGAACTTATAAGGTTAAGTTCAGGGATCAGAACTAGTCATGCTATGTGCTTTTGGTTAGTCTCTCGGAACTGAATATAGATAAGTGGCATTTACCCCGAGGAGACGTGTTTGTGTCAAAGTGTAAGTGTGACTGAAAATGGAAGCTATGCGGCAAGAAATGTCTGTTGAATTTTGTTTTGGAAATGGAAAATATAATGAGACTCAAAGTTGGGTGGGAATTTCAGTACATTAAATAATTGTGAGTCATCACTGAGTATCTACAGAGACTCTTGAAAGTGAGCTAACGCCCCTGAAAACATAATAATTTATTTTAAAAGAAACCTTTTTTTACATGCAGGCATATTCAGTAAATTAAAACGTTACTGAAAAGTTTCCTTCATTTGAGTAACGCCACCACTAAGTGAAACACATATTTTATGTGTTCAAATGTTGAAACTCAGATGTCAAATATTAAAAGAACTTCCTGCCATTCACACTGACCGGTGTTTTCAAGCCTTTATTTCTAGTAAATACAGGGATTTAGATGAAATATTACATCAAACCAATAAAAAAGCATTTTAACACTGAAATGTATGACTAATTACTTTAAGTATCTGTGCTTAAAGTAGATAGGTTTAATATCTGCTTAAAGATTACTTGCAAAGGTACTTTTAATCTAACAAATGAGCCTCGTTGAAATGAGGCTCAGAAATGTTTGAAAATGTTATATTTGTAATTCAACTGAAAAGTTGGCAAATCAAAAATGAAACAGATGAAATCTGCAGGGATTTCGAACAAGTATTTTTCAGATGAAACCATCAAATCATAAATGGATCCTGTCATAAATTGTATCAAATACCAGTCAGTTTTTTTAACATCACAGTGAGTCCTGACATATTTCAAAATGCAAAATTCACATAATTAGTGTTACTTTAAGGGTGCGCACATTTATGCAATAATTGTTTTCCTTTTGGCAATTCGCTTTAGTTGACTTGTACAAGATAAATGATCTTATATTACATATTACAAAAACCCATAATTTAGCAGGAGTGAAGACACTTTTAGGAGTCAATCTATATTTCTGCAAAAATTGGATTATTGTTCCTTTTGTTATGTTTACGTAATGAATCGGTAGAAGAATGAAATGAAAATAAATAAAATCACCATGTGTGATGCTTCAGATGAAAATGTAGTCTATTGGGTATAGCTTTCCTATTTATTTTTGTCTCCTTCTTTCTTGTTTTTTTCTCTTAAAAAATGTTACATTTGTAGATATTTGTCCCACAAGTCTAATTTTTTTCCTTTCACATGAAGTGAGCGTGCATAATCGTTTATGTCTCCCATTACTGATTGTTATACAATTTCAAAACTGAATTAATCTCCCAGAAGTGCTAGCGCATGTGAAATATGCTGCTGAGCCAGCTCAGCAGTTAGCAGCTAATAAGATTTAGATTGATTGTAATGTAGTATTCATGCATTATATTACCACGGTTGACAGCCTTATTGGAAATAGATTTACTACACAGTCAAACACATCATTACATGGGATGCATGGTGAAAACAAAAATGTTTGGTATTTTCCCAAAATAGAATGAGTTCAGTAGTAAAATTCAGTCTTCAGCGTTATTCAAAATTTCTTCCAAATTTTGCTTAAGCTTACATGCTAGAATAAAAATAACAATGAACAAAAGTATCCGATAACAATATTTCAACCACAAATAGCAGGGTGAATAATTTAGAAAACTGTTCTAAATTAAAATAAATATATTATTTTGTATTTATATTTAAAATGGTAGTATTTGACTTTCATTTCAGTCCCTCTGATGTCTCTGACATCAGAGGGACTGAAATGAGCCAATCAAGAGAGATTATTTCAGCACCTGTTTGCACATGCAACATATTTGCAGAAGTGATGAAACACCAAACCCAGAAGCCCTGAACTGTGTGTCTTTGTGTCACTGCTTTAATAAACAAACTATCAAACACCTAATTTACATGTGCACCATCACTGTGCTTTGTATATATCCACCTGTAAAGAGTCTTTGACTGAGTTGCTTTGGTCATCTCGTGCAATTATTGTTTCCACCACAGAGTGGCGCCACTGCACTTGGAAATTATAATTCCTTCATCTGCGCCACAGAAATTCTGACACATTTTCTGTTATTCTGCAGTGCTTTGCACTCTAAAAACTTAACTGCATGACTTAAAGTACTCCTTTTTATGCTGCAGTATTAAACTCTGGACAACAATGTAGAAAAGCTAGTTTGTAGCAGACTGGGTAATATTATGTTTACTGGGCAAAACGGTTGGTATGCAGCCAACCGTGCATCCTTATTCAGGGTACTGACATAAAGACAGGTGGATAGACGGATAGATGGATTTTATGATAAGAAGGTGTTGTGTGTCCTCATTTGGATTTGTACAACAAGGGAGCATGTCAGAATGACCATACATGGTGTTCCTTCATGCTTTCATTCTCTCTGTCCGTCTCCCTTTCTCAATCTCTCCAACCCTCCTTTCAGACAAGAGGATGGGCTTGTGTGCAAACAAAAAACTCCACCGGGCCGCTGTCCATTCTTTCACCAACTCAGCTTTCACTCCAGCTTTCTGTTTTCTTACCCTCTCATAAAGACCGGGTTCATTCGCCGGCTGCATTTACCTACAGGAAGAGAGCCCTGAAGGGAGGTGCAGAGAGCACCTCGGCACACCTACTTGTTGTTTATTTCCCTGCTGGATTTCTCACACCCAAATGCAAAGCCTTCTTCCTACATTTCTTTGAAGCCAGTGAGCTCTGCTGGAGATAAGGGGATCATCTTCTGCTTGTTACTTGGTCTTGGATTGTTGGAGTTGCGGATATTTGCCATGTTGCTTTTTGGGACAATTATACTTCCAACAATTCTTGTTTTAGATGAAGAGAGAAAGAGGATAAGTTGTCATTTCTACTTTTTTTAACCTCCAAAGTCACAACAAATGGAAGCGTATGATGCAAACTTATTCTAGTCTCTTGCAAATTCATTACGGTTTGACGTAATGAATTTAGGATGCCATAGCTTTAACAGGAATAGAAAACGTCAGGGACTGAGTCAAATTTTCTTTACTTCCAGCTCGCTTTGTGTCTGGAAGTTTGCACAAAATATGGATGAAAAGATGGGCTTAATCTTCTGCCATGGAGACTTCCTGTCATTCTGAACTACCTGCAAGACCTTTTCATCTTCAACAAAGCCGAAAATCCTTTTTTTCCTGGTGACCCCATTCCCATGGTGACCCTGTTGGTTTTGTGAGGCCATGCAGTACGTGGGAGGAAAGCTGTCAGCAGCCCAGCTGCGGTTGGCCGGCTGGGTGGGCAGCGCCCGCCGGTCCCTGCAAGGAGCTCTGGAGCTAGTGTGGGGCCCCTCAGATGAGGGCCAGAAGGTGGAAGAAGAGGAGGATGTCGACGACAAAGAAGAGGAAGATGGAGATGGAGGGGGAAGGTTTCAGAGAGCCATGTCGCCCCTTCGAAGCTTCGCCAGACGCAGCCGGAGTTCCCTGCGACGCTTCTCCGCCAGAAGTCGGCAGTCTTTTCAGAAGAGAGCCACTGAAACCCGCTCCGTAAGAAAGAATAACAAAAATTGTTCAAACCTGCATTAGATATTTTACAAACAGACATTCATTTCCTGGTTATTTTCATTCATGTTGGATATAGACAGGAGTCTTTTAAATCCTTAGTTAATCAGTGATGTTCAACAGCACATTTCGCTCACTCTCATTCTTCGTCAATGATCAGCTAGTCTGAAACCCCCGCTCCTGTGTGTTACAAAACAATTATGCAAATCCTTATGGGGCTGCTGCAGTTTTTCCAGGAAGGACGCAGCTATCTGATGAAGTTGTCTGAATGTGGTATTTTATCGGTTTGCATGTGTTACCCTTTCTGCTTCTGTGTCGTGTGCGTCGCAGATACAGCTGAGGTCAAAGACAGAGTGTGACTACCTCTGACCTCTTTATCAGATGGGATTTTTATTGCTTTGTGCATCTACCATTTGGTTTTGTTCACAGCTCATATTGTGAATACAGTACCTTGCAAAAGCAAGCACACCTCTAAACCTTTTTAATATTAATTTCTTGTTAGGACCATAAACCTTTCATGGTTTTACTAGCATTTATGTAATGAAGTATCACAAAGTGGTACATAAATGTGAAGTAGAAGGAAAGATACACATAGTTTTGGATGTTTTTGCTAACTAAAACCACATTTGTGTTCTGCTGTCCTGAATGTATCTCTAGCAGGACCCCCATTCACTGTAATTACAGCTACAAGTATGTACAGGTGGATAGAGTAGGTTGTCTGGTTATAACTTTGTGGCCAGTTTTTTTTTTTCACTCAAGTTGCTTGTGTTTGTGACACTTATGTCCTGTTCATCTTCTCCACTCTGCTCCAACTAGCATCTCATACATTCCATTGAGCGCAACAAAAAATTTATGCAAGTAAATTGGATAGACACAGACTTTGCCCAGACTTGCATCCCTTCTCTGCCAGTCTCATTAACACATACTGTCACAAATTGAAGCGATCGCTGTGTCTACACTTGTTCAGCTGTTCTTGAGCTGGTAGAACATATCAGATCGAAGACAAACATATCGTACGAGGAAATGTCTTCAGATAAAAGTAGATAAAGCTACAACAGCATTTATTGTTAATCTGTTGCGGAAAAAAAATTACGTGGTACATAGTGTTTACTGTGTTCATTTGCAGCCTGATGGTCTAGAATTACTTAATGGAAAAGATTAGTTATTTGATATTTCGAATCAGGGAGAAGTTCTCAAGGATTTAACAAAAAAACAACTATTGATCATACTTGCCTTGTGTGCCAGTGAAGGCCAGCATATTGAGTGTTTGTGAAAATATGTGTCGTTGGATGCCAAATTTGTTTTTGACTATAAATTTTTTTTATTTTGTAATGTCAAGTTTTGTGATATTATTCTGCTGAAATTAAAGTAAATATCATAGATATTTTGAGGTACAGAGTGTTAAAAGTAAAATAAAACAAAACATCCACTTATTTTTTTGGGCACTGCTAAACAGCAAATTGCAGAAAAAATGTAGATCCCTTACAGGACTCTGATTCTCAGTTGTACAAACTCGTCTTCATAGCTGGTGAGTCAGATTTTACCTTCCATGAACAACAGGTGTTCCTAAAACAACAAAGGTTTTCCTTCTTTACTTTAGGAGCCTTTCTTCTGATTCAGCAGGAGCTGTGTTAAATATTAGGTTAACCTCTTGATGCCATTTTAGGGTGAAGACAGGTTACATTATACTACAGCCCGTCCTTCTGTGTACAGCCTCTCTGATCCTGTTTGCTGCATCTGAATGCAGGCTGTGGTTATAGGAAAATCACCATAAGCCTACTCATTCATGCTGTTATGCCGCTAGATAACAGGCTTTGTGCAAATTAACCTGCCCTGTGAGCCCGGAGCAATAAACTGACCCATGAAGAGGATGAGACGTGGGCGCTGGTGTTTACTTGAGTGTTGCTTTGTATCCAGGTGACGGTTTCAGGAAAAACAAAAAGTGTGATGTGCCTCTTGACGGGCCATGAGGTGAGCTTAGAGGAATGCTCGCAGAGAAGTACACAGAGTAGCTTTGGTTTGGTGTGTGTGTGTGTGTGTGTGTGTGTGTGTGTGTGGGCATACCCGTGCATTCCAGCATGAGGGCGTGACATCACAAGTGTGTGTATGTGTGGGTTAGGTGTGTGTGGCTGTGCGTGCTCTTGCTCTTGGTGTTTATTGAGGACAGCTCTCAGACTCTGTGACCAGCTCATTAAAAGACGTATGCTTGGCTGATCCTTAGTCTTCTTCCCTCCCCATGTAGTTAGTGCTGTTGGATCAGCACAGTCCATTTCCCCCCCACCCCGCCTTCGCTACCCAGAAAAAAACAGCTCCAATTTACAGAGCAGAGAGGAGCTTTTCCTGCAGAGCGTAGGTCGAGTTAAATTTGAAGATATCTGCACTTTGTTAACAACAATATGCCACGGTTGAGTTTCCCCATCTTCTCTGCAGCCTATTATATTAAAAGCATCTTTTGAGTTATAGCTGATTCTGTAACATCGTGTCATTACATTTCTGTCTCCACAGGTTAACAGCCACATCACAAATGATGAGGACAAACTCATTCAGACTTTGTTGCGCAATCAGCAGGATGGGATTTCTGAACAAACGTCCGGACCTGACAGGTAGATAAATATACAGATACAGATCAATACAGATAAACATATAAAGTTTATCTGTATTGAACAGTTGCAAGGTAATTTTAAGGACTTTACAGAAAAATGAGCAGCAAAAATAAATTAAATATTGTGAAACTAATTCATTTATTAAAATAATGATAGTAAACCTTAAACATTGTATTAAAAAGAAAGAGAAAAATTCTAATCAAAAGCAAACAAATATTACTAATATGTGAAATTAATAGATAAAATGATAGTGGACCATTTTCATAAACATGCACTAAGCAGCAGTTTTCAGTGTTGGTTTAAAGGAGGCAGCCCTGAAGCTAAAAGTGGATGCTAAAATTTAGGTTTCATTCTAGACTTGAGAAGCTTTTTGTCTCATTGGGTGTAGTTGAGTGCTGGCCTCTATGTCTAATATAGTATTTTTGGCGCCAAAACCAATTACATCTGTATTTTCTACAGTGGACTGGAGTAGATTTGCTCCAGTCCACTGTATGAACACACACATTTATCAAACTTTCCTTCAGTTATCGGTTTTCCTGATCAGCTATTGACACAAGATCTTTACCTTTTACCAATGCAGCCTGAGGGTTGTGGCGATAAACCTGACTGGAAATGACATCGAAAGACTTTTTTTTTTCTCTATGAAAAGTTGTACAAAAAGTGGCCAGAACTTTTCAACCCTAAAGAGCTTTTATTCTTTTCAGTCCAACTCATGTCCCAGACCCAGACCCAGTCCCTGATGCCTCTGAAGATCTGGATAATACTGATTCTCAAAGAGAGATGGATTTAGACGCAGTCTGTGAGGTCGGTATAAAAAATAATTCTAAATCTCTCTGCCATAAAGGATTTTCTTCTGCAAACATACACCTTGAAGTTAGGAAAATAATGTCTTTCGTTGCTCTCCACAGAACTCTGCCCCTCTGCTTGACAACAGCTCACAAAAATCTAAAGTAGTTTTGGGAAGGAGGCTAACACGAACACGTCCATCTCGCTCTCTCAGATTAGAGTCGGCCGAAGCTGCCAGAGTACGATTGAGTGTCTATAATGGTAATGGTTATTACATTATATCTCCTAATAGTTTGTCTTACATGAAAACTGTGATTTACTAGAAGTTTTGTTCTTAGATGAAAAAGACAATCAGTCGGACTCAGAAGAGGAACCACATAAGTCAAAGCCAGTTTATTCTTCTCCGTCATCTACTCAGAGGGTTGCCATGTTTCCAGGTCTGAGCCCTGCAGATCTACTTGTAAGTTACCTAAAAATGTTTTCAGTTTTTTTCCTTATTTATTATGGCATAGACCCATACCATTATGTAAAATATGCTCAATATTTCAGAGTGGACTAAAAAGGAAAACCGGTGGCGTGGCAGCTAAAGCTGAAGAGAGATCAGCAGAAGACAGAGGAGAACAAGAGACTGAAAGTCAAAATAAGAAAGTCGCTCCATCGCAGGTCTCAGGATCTCCTCGCCTGGCGGCTAATCTCGTAGGAGCTAAACGAGTGCTGCCCCCTGCAGTCGGTAAAGATGGAGGGTAAGCTCTGAGAATGACTACAAATTTTAGAGGTCATTTGGAGAAATTGATTTAAATGCTCTTTCTGTGCTATCAGCAATGCCTCATCTTTTTGTCTCATCTTCTTAGGCTTTGGCCTAAGAAGCGGACGACTCAGCAGAATAGTGAAACTTAACCAGACATAAGTAAGTTCATTTTCTCTCATCATAGACAAGAGTCATGTTAATTTTTAGCTTTGAAATGAACTAAAACAGTTAAATTATACATACAGGCTCAAATAAATCCATACCATGTCAATAAATCCATACCATGTCAATATTTATGCAAATGTCCCGTCAGTGCTAGCACATCAACCACGCTCTAATGGCTGGAGGCTGTTTCTCCAAATTCTTTCATTTGATATCGAAAATAGGCATAATTTCTGCTATTGTTTTTAGATTTGTTGGACATTTCAAGGTTTCAGTTGCATTTGAAGTTCACAGTTGTCATAGAAAATAACAACTAATGGATTTTGTTCTCTTTAGGACACACGGCTTTCACACTCTTCAGCGGGAATTGGATAATTTCATCTCCTTACTGATGGCAGATATAATGACGTAATGACGATTGCTCCGCTCTGCACTCTGAGTGCCTTACTTTGGATCTTTCCTGAGAGAGAAGAAATTGTGCTTTTTTTTTCTGGACACAGAGGCAACATTTACCTTTTAAAAATGAAATATGGTGCCATGGCTGTGCACAGAGGCTGTTGGATGTTTCTGCCAAGTAAATATTTCTCCAAGCACTGTCTGAGAGCTCTGTGGATGTTTGAGTGTACTTTAGAGCAAAGCCATTCTGTGAATGTGAAATCCATCACAGAGGAAATGATGGCACTACACCTCATCAGTTTACTGATTATGCTTATTAAAATAAGGCACTTTTCAGTCTTTTTACATAATCTAACCTGTACTACTAACTGTCTTAACAGAAAATCTACTACTAAAGCCAATGCTTTAAATGTTAAGGACCCCCTCAGAAGTCGTGTGGGTTCAGACATAAATCCTTACACTTACTATAAACATCCTCACACAAAATAGATTCTAAGACACAAATAGCAAAAGCATAGAAATGTACAAAATCACCAAGTGGATGTGTGTTTTTTAGTTTAAGTTGCACAGATTATTGTTATATCCTATCACAATTCTTCTCAAGGAAAGTTTGAAGCACTTTAATGAAATATTACCATAATTGCACCCATGCAATGAAATTTGAGCAATAGCAAAATCATGTTTGAAGTTATTTTTTGCAGAGAATTGAGTTTTTCTTGTGTTTTGTTACAACATTGTCAGTTTCACCTTCTGTAGTTCCATTCCTATCTCTGGGGACAATAACAGATTCAGGAAGTGTGTATGTTATATGTGTGTGTATGTGTTCAGGTCTGTAAAACTTAGAAAACTATTTGCCTTTTTATTACTGGAAAATTGTGACCATTTTGGTGTTTATAATGTATGTGTAATGGAAATTGAGGGAACTTTAATAAAAGTTTTTCTTTTTTATGAAATAGGTTTGAGTGTTCTTTTGGTGAGAAAGTATATTTTTCATGTGTATTAAGAAAGTGAAGCTGGATTTGTTTTTGTTTTTTAACACTTTTTGATTAATCAATTCTAAATGATGTTCACAATTCATACTAGCTTATTTATATAGTGCCAAATTCCAACAACTGTTCCCTCGGTTTACAACTAGGGTGTCACTGTCTGTCCAAATTCATTAAAAAAGTTATGTCATTTCGGTCCAGTCCAGTTGTGCAGTCACATAACTCTTATTTTATCATAATCATGATATACAACATAAATCACCATACTTGTTGTACATTTGATATGCAACCCACGTCCCGAGCAAACGTGGCAGTGAAAACAAGTCTTATTTTTACCTACTCCAGCAGAACCAGTCTCAGCATCAACACACATCTGCCATGTTCAATTGAGGATCAAGAGGGACCAAAGACAGCAGAGACAGTCCAGGACTGGAAACATAATTTTAATAACATGTTAAGCAGTGGCTTTGTGTAAAAACTAAAAAAAAAAAAAGACAAGCAGAGCATCACTGCAGTGTTTCATGCGGCCATCTGAGACAGGATGCTTCTGTTGATGGGTTTCAATGGATAAATCCTAGACAAACCACATGCTCAAGGTTCTTTGTATTAACACTTGAAGCCAACTTAATGCTATCCAAAGTATGTGCCTGGCTAAGCAGTTTGTTCTTCAAATAATCTTTTCCAAATACAACAACCTCTGTCTTTTTTTAATTTAAAACCAGAAAATCTGAGGTGATTCAACCTTTAATTTCTTCAGGACATGCCTGTCGTCTAATAATAAGATTGGATGAATATAACTGAATATCGTCGCCATGGCAGTTGAATTCCATCCATCCATCCATCCATCCATCCATCCATCCATCCATCCATCCATCCATCCATCCATCCATCCATCCATCCATCCATCCATCCATCCATCCATCCATCCATCCATCCATCCATCCATCCATGTCTTTCGCATATCCGAGGTTGCAGATACATGCAACCTCAGTTGCAGGGGCAACAGGTCGATGAGGAAAATTCAGACATCCCTTCACTTGTGACTCTGTCCAGCTCATTCTGCGAGGGGGTATATAACACATAAATTTAGAATGCACATATGTTTTTTAACCTGGTATGATAAAGGTTAAATTTAAAAAAATTATAAAGAAAAAGAGAATAAAGAGAATGAGTTGAAGCACTAACCCCTGTGGTACACCAGCACTAACTCTGGCTCTTAAACAAGATGTTCAAATATGTCAGAGCAGTATGCTCTAAACCAGCCTATTGATCACTAATACATCTAAAAAATTGCGATCATCTTCATGACATGCATCACTGAGATCCAACAGAACAAGTCAGATCTATTCCACAAATAACATGACACACAAATGAACAAATGAACTGTGCAATGTACATTCAGTTTTTGAATGATATAGGAGGTAAGGGAAATTAAGCTGAATGATTTTGGATGGGTTATGACAAATGCAAAAAAAAAAAAAGAAAAGAAAAGCTGGATCGATGTAATAGTGCTGAGTGAGACTTATCTCTGTTGATGCTCTTGGCTGGCTGTCAGTGCATTCGCTCCTATAGGATCACGATCGGGATGGCAGCCTGGGCAGACCTGACCAGCAGTTGCCACAGTGCCAGGGACAGAGGGCAAAGCTATTGAGATGCAGTGTGACGGACACAATGGGTGCGACAGACTTGCTGTATCGACAGGCTTTTTGCTGCTGTGGTCAGAAATAAACCATAAATACCCCCACTGGCATCCACCGACTGCTCGCCAGGCCTCCACAACCACACTCACCCTCAAACTGAGACAGGCAGGAGGCAAAAAGACGAGACAAAAGGAAAGACAGAGAGCGTGGCTTGTTCGGGGTGCAGCAAAGCACAAGCCATCAAGGTAAATTAATCCTTCTCATAATGCAAGTTCTACCCAAAAAATTTTTCTGTTTTGGTTTGTGCAAATTGGACCTACTAGGATCAAAGTTTTGAAACACACAAGTTGTTCTTCATTTGCCCTAAACTATGTGATTTTGGGGGGGGGGGTTTCTAAAGAAAACATGACAGAACAGCAGGGAACCCCAGACCAGCTGCCTGCAGAGAAGGGCCAAGGAGGTGCTGGAGCCACATATAAGGTACGCTCAACACACACACCAGTAAATTGACTTTAGTAGCATTTGGGCAACACTGTCAACCTTCACCTGTTCCTTTTTTTTTATTTTAAGTTGGCTGTATTTGAGTTTGAGAACTTTCGTGGGAAAAAGGTGGAGTTTTCTGGCGAGTGTAAAGACGTGTTGGAAAAGACCCCAAGAGTTGGCTCGGTCATTGTGGAGTCAGGACCGTGAGTGGCTCATCTGCCTTTAAATATCATTCTGTCGTTTTGAGTTTGTCCACATTACAGTTTGGCAGTTTTATGTAATGCGGTATGTCTGTGTTGTTAGATGGGTAGGGTTTGAATGCCTGGGTTTTGGTGGGGAGCAGTTTGTCCTCGAGAAAGGCGAGTATCCTCGGTGGAGCACCTGGACCAGTTGCCAGAGTAGCTACATCCTGAGCTCCTTCAGGCCTCTTAAAGTGGTAAGTAGCATTTAAACGTGGCTCTTTTGCGGATTTTAAATGCAATACAAGCAAGCGTGTTCTTTCTCTCTTTAGGAAAGCGGGGATCACAAGTTGCACCTGTTTGAGAAGACAGGTTTTGAAGGACGAAAGATGGAGATTGTTGATGATGACGTACCCAGCCTTTGGGTTCATGGCTTCCAAGACCGTGTGGCTAGTGCTAAGGCTATTTCTGGAACGTAAGATATATCGTCTCAATCACAAGGAATAATGGATACGTTCCAATGATCTTAAGGGTAGAACTGAAGGGCTTGGAGCAACAGAATATTTAAGTCTTTGTAAATTATTAGTGATGATTTCTAATTTACTGTTGTTCTTTTGAAGGTGGGTGGGATACACATATCCAGGCTACAGAGGGCGCCAGTACGTTTTTGAACATGGAGACTTCAAGCACTGGAATGCTTGGGGAGCCACTGCACCTCAGATCCAGTCCGTCCGACGTGTGCGGGACATGCAGTGGCATAAGAGAGGGTGTTATATTCCACCTGCCCCGGTCCCTGCCCCTGCTCCTGCTCCTACCCCAGCCCCTGACCCTTCCCCTGCACCGCCCAAACCAAATCCCAGTCCTAATCCCAAACCCACTCCCAAACCCCAAACTCAACCCCAGCCTTAACAGCACACCTCTGACAACACCCACACTGACTGGGGGAAGCTGAATGCAGCTGACCAATCCCCAGTTTCTTCTTCATGCTCCTTTTTGGGTGAGGCTTCCTGACCATGCAGTTTTGGAGAACTGGAACTGGTAATATTGAAACATGTATCTCTGCTGAAAATAAAGGTTTTGACCCTGACTTTGGCTATAAGCACATTTGTTTCATGGTACTGATTATGTACTGCACAGAGGACTGTTTGACAAGTTGGTTGGGATGAGAAATAAAATGGAAATTTCTCAAAATGATAGAGGGACACAGTTACCAACATGAGTTATTTATTATTCTACCAAGGTTAGAATACTAACCTTCTAAATAGATTTTCCATCAAATCAGAAAAGCATATGCCTTTGAAGTTTTTGTTTTGCTTTGTGCTGAAACTGCCTTGTAAATGCATTCATGGTACTCAGGTTTGAACAAATATTGACACATTTCAACATCCAACTTCTATGTGCTAGTGGCAGGAATAAAATTAGAGAGAAGCTTGAACATCTCAGTGAGTGAGAACATCTCACAAATGCAAGCAGAGCAAGGCATTCACCAAAACTTCAAAGAAAACCATGAGAAGTCACATTTTCAGATTGCCACAAGGCCTTCATGCAAACATTGTCTGAAAATGAAAATGCAAACCATTTTCATTTTGGTTTGCAAAATGAGAATGGTAAAAAAGGGTATACACACCATTTCCTTTTTTTTCAGCAGTAGAAGAATGGAGCCAATGGAGGACATTCCTTGAAGAAAAACTAATATTGCTTGCGAAAGACAAGACTGGAGCCTTCGTCCTTCTAGCAGGACAAAGTTTTTTTTTGGTTGTTAAAGCACATTTACATGTTTGAATGGACCAGTCAAAGTCCAGTCCTGTTGCCAGACACATTGCCACATTATTCACAGATGATCTCCATACAATCTGAGAAGAAGATTGACCAAATGTATCGGTGTCTAGATGTGTGCGCTGTGGCTGCAATGTCACAAAAATGTGAAAATGTTCAAGTGGTGTTGAATACCTTTGGAAGGCCCTGGTTATGATAAAGTTACGTTTGTCTTGTTCTTACCTTGCAGCTCAAACTTTCTGTAAACCAGAATGAGGTTTACAGAAAAATAACAGTGAAATTGGCCTCAGACTTCTTCTGAAACTAGCTGAAAAATAAATAAACAGTCTCAACAACCATGGAAAGCTAAAAGTGACACAATGTCTACAACTAATATTTTTAATCTTATTTGATATTTGTGCACAAAAATAAGAACATTTGAAAAGCTTTTTTTGATTTTCCGGGATGAAAGAGAAATCGAATTGATGCTTCGGGTCCTAACTTTGTGTCCACTTAATGTTCAGATTAAAGTTTGCGATAACAACACATCCCTAACATTTCCTCCTCATAGAAACCCTCCGTTGACGTCAAAGCTCAGTGATTGGTTAAAAAAATACACAGACCCGCCCAGGAAGATGAGGAATATCCAACCAGGAAGCACGTCCATTCACTAGGCTCGTAAGGTGGGCGGGAAACGCGCAAAATTTGAACGTTCACCCGGAAACAGCGGGAGTAGAGAGGGCAAGAGTATGCTTATGAGTATATCGCTGCGTCTATGTTAACACTGTATTATTATCGTCTGCATGGCAGTGTGGTAAGTGTTAAGCACCTCAGTACTTTGTGTGCATACATATGATTTGAGAACAGCAGCGAGTGACGCGTTTACGTTAGGGGGCATTTTAGAGAAGTGGA